CCCTGGGAGGAGATCGAGGCATGGGAGGGGGAGCGAGGAGGATGTGCCGCCCTCGATCCACCCCCCCCACCAAATCCCACCCCACGCTCTCCTGCCGGGGCAGCTGGCCCTTCGAAGGGATCGAGGCCCACCACATCCCGCGCTCGCCTGCCGGGGCAGCTCCTCCAGCCCTCACCCGCCTGCCTCCGCTCCCGGGGGCCCCCGCCGCGTGACGCAGCCGAGATCGCCAGGTCCGCCCCCCTCCGCTCCCGCCGCCCCCCCCCCCCCCCCCACACCGTGCTGCCTGGCGCAGTTCGGGGCGAAGTCGCGGCCGCTCTCCTCCCGGCTCCGCCGCATGGGCAGGCCCCCGGGGGGGCCGGCCCTCGACGGCCTCGGCCGCCGCGGAGCCGCAGCGAGGCCGCGCACGGGCTTGGCCCGAGGAGGCGCACGGCGGGAGCGGGTGCGGAGGAGGAGGGCACGGAGTCGGAGGGCACCAAGTATACACCCGCGCCGATGCTGGCTGGGATCACCCTGGGCTCAGGATCGGTACGCCCTCCCGGCTCGGGCAGGAAGGCGTGTACACCGATCCTGGACCCAGGATCGGCCCGGCCAGGATCGGTGTGGGTGTACAGTTGGTGCCCTCCGACGGAGGCAGGACGCGGGGGTGGCGGCGGAGGGACGCGAGTGACCCAGACATCCGATGTTTGAGTTTCTCAACGCGGAGAAAAAAAACGCTTGAGTTTCTCAACGCGGGGTCCCCAGAGGTCTGGACGTTTTCCCTTTGGGCCGGTTGTGCGTCCCGAGCCGTCTCGGCCCTGGGGCCCGGCGAGGTCCCCCAGAGGCCGAGAGCCGAGGAAGACGTCCGCCTCGAGCTCCTCGAGACGTGGGGAGGCTCGGGGCTGGCGGCGCGCAAGCGTCTGCGCTCCATGGGGCGGGAGAGGCGCGGGGTGGGGGGGCCTTGGGGGGGGGAGGGGCGGCCGAGGTGCCGCACGGCGTTCGACGGCGACGGGCCCCGTGGCCGTGCGGAGTCGGCGCGCTCCGTCGCCGCACCAGGCGGCAGTGGCTGCTGGCTTCGGGGGGGTGCGTTCCACGATCCTCAGGAGGGAACAAAAACACACAGACACCATTCATCGTCGATCCCCAAGAGAATACGGGAACATATGGGACGTGGGGGGGGGGAAGGCAAGAACCCAGAAATTATGGGAAACTATGGTGAATCTTTTTATTTGTGTCTATTTGTTTGTGTGTGTCCCGGGGCCCCTGCAGATCCGTCGACATGATGCCCGCGCGCCAGGTCCACGGATCCATGCTCCGTGTCGGCGCGCGCCCGAAGCAAAAGGGCTTTTGCGGCAGGCTGCGCGCGAGCGGCCTGAGACCAACACCTCACACACAGACACGCATAGTCGCCGATCCTCGCAAACATATGGAAAGTATCGGAAGTGTGTGTGTGTGTGTGTGTGTGTGTGTGTTTGTGTGTGTGTGTGCGGGGAGTCGAACATCCAGAAGATAGGGAGCACACGGGGAATCCGGGAATTTGTGTCTCTCGATTTGTTTCCCTGGGCCCCATCAGTATCGCTCTGCCGTGAGCCCGCTGCCGTCTCCCGCGGCCGAGGCGAGGGAGGAGCAGGACAGGGAGGAGGAGGAGGAGGAGGAGGAGGAGGAGGAGGTGAGGAGGGGGGGAGGAGGGAGGAGGAGGAAAAGAGGGAGGAGGAGGAAGAGGAGGAGGAGGGAGGGAGGAGGAGGAGGGAGGGAGGAGGGAGGAGGGAGGAAGCGAGGGAGAGGGAGGGAGGGAAGTAGGGAGGGGAAGAGGGGAGGAGGGAGGAGGGGACGATGGAAGGGAGGAGGAAGGAGGGGGGAGGAGGGAGGAGGGAGGAGGGAGGAGGGAGGAGGGAGGGGGAGGAGGGAGGAGGAGGTGCAGCAGCAGCAGCAGCAGGAGGAGTAGGAGGAGGAGGAGGAGGAGGAGAAGGAGGAGGAGGACGAGGAGGAGACTGAGGACGAGGACAGAAATGACGAGGACAACGAGGACGACGTCGACGACGATCGAGGATCGAGGAGGATCGAGGGGGAGACGGAGGGAAATGATAGAATAATGCGGATCAAGAATGAGGTGGCTCAAGAAGGATGATGATGCTGCTTCTGATGATGATACTGATTATGATGATGACGATGCTGATTATGATGATGATGATGATGATGATGCTGATGCTGATGATGATACTGATGATGATGATGCTGATGATGATGACGATGCTGATGATGATGATGATGATGATGATGATGGTGGTGATGATGACGACCATGACGATGATGATGATGATGGCCATGATGATGATGATGATGATGATGATGATGATGATGATGATGATGATGATGATGATGTGATGTGATGTGATGCGATGCGATGCGATGCGATGCGATGCGATGCGATGCGATGATGATGATGATGATGATGATGATGATGATGATGATGATGATGATGATGATGATGATGATGATGATGATGATGATGATGATGATGATG